CACACAAACCACTATCTGCACGCTCTCTCACACCACCACCACCCAGCACAGATCAACTCTGTAGCCAAGACACTCATCTCCAGAACAAAACGCTTAGCTGACGAACAACACCTAAAACCCGAACTACACACTCTCACCAATGTACTAACATCCAATGGATTCCATAGAAATAAGATTACAAACCTAATCCAAAAAGAAAACCCCACTAAAATCCAAGACAAAGAACAAGAAAAAATGGCAAAGCCCTCCTCCTATAACATAAAAGGCACCACAGAGACAGAATTCCAGTGAGATCCTCCATAACACACATCAAAACAGTCATTCTGCCCAAACAGAAAAATATCCACCCATCCTTAGAACCCAAAGATAAAATTGAATTAGAAAATCGGAGTATAACTAATCCGCATGCACGCCTTGTCCCACCACATACATCGACACCCAACAGAAGAATAAGTGCATGCATTGAAGAACATAAGAACTCAGTCAAAAAAGAGGAACCAACATCTTCCCTGGTCCAACACCTTAAAGCCACAGGACATGAATTTGACTTTAAAAATACCAGAATTATCGCCAAAACTGAACATTTTAATAACAGAATAATCAGAGAAGCCATCGAGATAGAAAAACGCCCACACAGCATGAACAAGCGAGATGATACCTCCCGCCTACCAGCCATTTGGAAACCCGCCCTTATTGACAAACGACTCCCTAACACAAAAATGATACCAGACCCACACTCACAAAACCCACACAGGATGTCACCACCACACATCCACGCAAAAAGCAAATCCAAAGCCACACCGATGATGAGGCACGACCACAAACCAGAAGCCAGACCACAGCTGCATCATAGCCACTTTAAACTCCTCCAATCCATACATGAAGCAAATTGACACCCACCATGAGAGAAGCACGACCACGACGTGAAGCAAAAAATAGCAATGCAGCCCAAATCTCAAACCCATCTTCAATACTCGACGAACCTAGCACACCAAACAGAACACTCCCCCAGCCAATCAGAGCACAGCCAAGCCCCTAACCATTCAGAACACACCTCCACCCAATCAAAACACAGCCAAGCTCCCACCCAATCAGTTCATACCCCCACTGGCAGTTAAAAGGAATAAACAGCTAAGACCACACATTGCTGCTCAAAGCACGAAGCTGAAAGCACCAGCCTGAAGATGACGAATGGGACTTCGTCGAAACGTCGCCAAGACACTTCCAATTTTACGCGGGAGAAAACCCGAACAACCAAAGACCTACATACAAATACCCGCGAAAACCTCAGAAAACAATATATATATATATATATATATATATATATATATACACACACACACACACACACACACACACACACACACATACATACATACATACACACACACACACACACACACACACACACACACATTCTTGGAAAATGTGTGTGCAAGAAAAAGAAAAGTAAAATGAAAATGAAAACATAAGTTTTCAGGAAGTATGGAGTCCTGCATGAAAAAGTATTAGAAGACAGATTAATGTCTCTAGATATTAATTTGAAAGTAGATTCAAGGAAAGATTTGACATGGAAGCTGCTTGCAACAGTATGAAAGGAATTATGAAGTGCTACATAAGTGTGTGGAGTTAATGGGGAATATAAAAACAAATATGTAAAATTAAGCTTTGTGGAATGCTAAAGTGGAAACAGCTGTGAATGACATAAATGTTTATAAAAATGACTACTGTCAAAAGAAATGACAGAAAGCTATTATATAATATATAACTAAATTTCATTTTTGATGTGTGCCATTGTGCCCACAGTATAAAAATGACAATAAAGGTTATCTTATCTTATTTAATCTTATATGTATAGAGAAATATAATTCTAAAGAAAAGTAGCAGAAGCCCTTCCAGTTTCTTGCCAGGCTGGTGCAATATGTTCCTTGCTTTCCCATCTTCTCCTGTAGTAGAGCAAAGTTTCCCATCCCTTTATTTTTGGAAGACATATTCTTGCTGCTTTGTTTCCATGAATCTGAACTGTCCACTCTTCTTTGCGACAAAGCTTCCATGAAAAATATTGTGCGATCCAGAGAATAATTTATTCTCTAGTGCTTTGGTTATTGTAACATCAGAGCAATGACCATACTAGAAATGAAAAATTAAAAGAAAGGATCTGTGTTAGTGTGAAGAGATATAAGGTAGAAAAGGTGAATGGGGCAGAGAGTAAAGACATCCATGCATGCAAACCTCTGGAAATGCAAAGGTAAGCCACAGGGATTAATGAGAAGAGATAAGTCCCTAAAAGGAAAAGACAGCCCTTGGTAAATCAGTCCACAGAGGAACTAGCCAGCAAGACTTGTCTTCCTCACATGGATGGAAAAGAAAGAAGCAGGGGAATGATCCATCAGCTCTCATGGTAGCCCTAATTTGGACTGAGTCCCAGTCCAAGATTATTGGCAGTTGTGGCAATCCAGAGTGGAATTTCTGAAGATCGCTTTAGAAACACCTAGGAGCAGCACAGGAGACAAGCAATTGTATGGAATTTCCCTTACACTTGCTTATTACTTGTGGACAACCAATCACAAAACCTGAATGCAAGTGATAGTGCCCCTGACATCACAATTAACCCCTCCCTGTCATACCCCAGGTAAGTAGTCTTCAGAGATTATAACTCTGCCTACATGAGAAAAAGATAATACACAGGAAAATCTTTTTAGCACTGCAAGGTAGGACCTAGGTTTCATCAGTTTGGTTGTGTAAATTGTGGCCGAAAGTGTTTGTCTTTAAAACCCTTGCCGTTCAGTAAGGCTCCATTCACTGTTTCTGTAGGAGAGGGCCTTAATACTCATTTGAAAGCAGGGCAATCTTCATTCACAAAATGCTCAGGGCTGTGAAGATCTCTGCTCATTTTTTTCTATTGGATTACAGTGGGAAATGGATCACTGATTTCCTCTGCCATTAATGACAAGAAATCAGTAAACCGATCTTCACCAGCAAGTCAATTATCTGACTAGGAACCAGATCTTTGGTTTCTCACTGCTAATGACAATGTAATCTTAAAATCTGTAATAATCTGTTGTTTGGGGAAAAAGGAAATTTCACTGCTTCCTCTTTCCTTTCCTATATTGATCTCACCATAGGTGGATAGTACTTAAAGTTCAGCAGTGGGAAAAGATTAATAGATGTAAAGTGTACCCATTCATTCAAAGACTGTTATTTTCTTTTTCTTCCTTAGGGTCAGGTATTTCCAGCCACTACCTGTTCCCAGCTTACATGAGTTTGCCAAGATCTTCCAGGGTGCCTTCCATCCTCTTTGCAGGATGGACAAAAGATGGAATAGACTATTACAAGATCCTGGGGGTCACTCAAAATGCCTCCCATGATGATATTAAAATGGCGTAAGTCGGCCTTCCACATGCTCAGCCTTCCAGCTTTTAGTGCCTACTGTGAGCGTGTGGACCATTCCCAAAGCCACCAGTTTCTCTATGTGGGCAGATAGAATTTGTTTATACTTTCTGGGATCTTCTGTTTTTATAAGAAAATTAATAAAGTATGTACAATTTAATTTGTTTAAATTTAAATTTCAGTAGGCATAAAGTCCCTGTATCTTTTAATAGCTTTTACTTTTTCATTTAAATTAAAATTAGAGGGTGGGGAAGGAAATTCATTTGAGGATTAAACGTCTTAATTCTCAGCCAAAAGTCTGAAACTTTCTTTTAAAATAAGGATCAGCAATCTCCATATATTGTTGAACCAGCACCCATCATTCCTTGTCAACATGGCCATTAGTGAGAAATTGTGGGCATTACAATGCAATTATATCTAGAGTACCATGTCTTGCGAATCTTTATTTTTAAAACTTCAATTTAGCTATCACCTTTACTTATTCACTGAAGCTGATTAAGAATTAGGCTTTTTCTCAAGTTTACATCATCACCATTAAATAGTAGGGTACAATAGTGACAATCCCCTAGTATAGGGGACATCATGAAAAAAATATGTTTGGTTGCTAAGAATCAACAATGATTTGATGGCAGATAATCAAAGTACAGGGGAAAGCAGAAAATAAATCAGGAAATATTGGTAGGTTTTTGAAAACCGTAAGTTTGACAATGGTTTTTAAGTAATGCTAAACCCAGATAAAAAACCCCAAAGCTTGAGTAAATAAAAGTATGGGTTTGGTTTGATTAATTAGTTATTTAGATGGATACCCGATGTTTTTGCCCTGAAGTGATGTTCAAGGCATTTAATAACAAAAGTATAAAATGCTGAATTAATTAAAATAAAAAGTAAACAAGCATTATAGCATAAAAAGTAGTAATAATCTAGTAATATAATCATTAAAACTATTCAGAAGGTGCATCTTAGCTTGCTTTCCAGAATTTTTGGCCTGAACCCTACATTTATATATAGTTTATCTATGATACTATTCTCATAGGAACAGAAGAAGTCCTGTTTGGAATAGCCTAACATTCTGTGTAAAAAAAACTGTCTGAATTTACTCGGAAATGATGCACTCCCAATCATCTTTCTCAGTTGTTCTCAAAGTGTGATCTGAGAACCTTTCAGAGGCCTCACAAAGTCAAACAAATAAACGCTTTCAAATTTCAAGTCATTGTTAAGAAAGGTTAGGATTCTATACTTAGATTCATAATTCTGACAAAATTTTCTGCTGGTATGAAAAGCATTATGTGTAGGGTGGAAAATTTCTTTGCCACAAACACAGAAAGCAAGAATGCCTCAGCATGGTAGAACTTTTACTTCTTCCTGTTGTCCCTTTACTGTAATATTTGAAGAAAGCTGTGTTGTGTTTCTGCCTGAGCATAGAAATAATGGATTGAAATGTGCTGAGAAAAGCCATCATTAGCATGATAGTCCTTGTTTATGAAGTCCTTGTTTAGCATAGGTAGTCCTTGTTTTGCAACCATAGTTGCTAAAGTTGTTAAGTGAGATGGTCCCCTAAGTGAAACCATCTGTATTTACGATTTTACTTCAGCTTTTCTTTACATACCTGTGAAATTCATAAATGGAAAGATTAGTTAAGTTACTTCTTTGTCACCATTGTAATGACAAATGGTTGCTAAAATGAGACAGTCAATAAACAACTACCTATATTGTCCTTGGTACTAGTGGGAGTATCTGTCCAATATATTTGCTTCTGATCCTTTGAGAAGTATTCCAGAATGAAAGAAAGCTTAGAATGGAATTAATAGTTTGCTCAAGAGACTTATTATTTGTGGTCTTCCCTCTAACTGCATAGGTACAGAATGCAGCTGAAGAAGTGGCATCCTGATAAAAACCTGGATAACAAAAAAGAGGCTGAAGAGAAGTCAAAGGAGATAATGGAAGCATACAAAGTGCTGTCAAATGGTAAAGATCCAGCATCTTCATCCTTCTTTGATTATCCTCCTTTCAGTGGTGCCCTTATTCAGCAATACCAACACATTGATGCAGCATCATTCCAGATGGATAAGTCCTAGCAGTAATTGTCATGAGACTTTTTACACCTGATGAGGTTTTTTTTTAAAATGGAAATTAAAAAGAACAGAGCCTTTAGGAAAATGCAAAGGCTTGCAAAGGGAAGACAGTATGTTTGCATGCACATAAGATGACAGGATGAGAATATGATAGCTTGTTACTGCCCTCCACTTCTTCATAATGCTGAACGTGGATTGGAAAAGGGAAAATATTCTTTTTATCCTATGATATGCCTTGGGCCACTGATTTAGAAGTTCATATCAGTTGTCTTCTTTTTTAAAAAATAATAATAATTCTAAATTCCTCCTTAATTGCAATCTACAAAATGAGGGCCAGTTTTAGTTTTCTAAATATATTTTACTTGTATAATATTCTTCCCACTTATTCTTTTTTACAAGTAATAAAACTGCACCCTCTGAAACCCTGCTCTTTTATAGATGCTTCTTAGAATAAAAAGATCATTTTTTACACACACACACACACACACACACACACACACAGAGAGAGAGAGAGAGAGAGAGAGAGAGAGAGAGAGAGAGAGAGAGAGAGAGAGAGAGAGAATATTCCAGAAGTCCTACCTCAAAGGAAGGATAAAGGATAACTGCCCAGTTTTCAGAACTTGGAATACAAGGTATAAAATCTCGGAAGAAATTCTGATAATCTCCCATCTTGAAATGGCAGATATTATTATTCTTGATATACAGCAAACTTCTGTATTTCTCTGGATGTGTATGTGTTACTTTAATAATATAGTTTAAAAGTCTTTTTCCAAGAGAACCTCAGAAAGTAAGTCATACATCCTGAGGTTTTATTCATATGAGCTTTGGGAGACTCATGGGAAACCTGGATTTCCCTTTTGGGCTGCGTGTTTTGAGTTTTTGTTTTGATTTTAGCTTTTTAAATGGATTTTATGGGATGACATCATACAGCATATTCAGTTTTATGTTTTATGGATTTTTTTATTGTCTTTGATGATTCTGTAATGTGTAAATGTATGAATTAAATATATATAACTTTAGACAGAAAACTGAAATACATAGTTTGGCTGTAATATGTGAAACAATGAAAGCCACGTAGTTTGCTAGACCATATGCAGCTTGGCATGGTATCTACTCTATTATCAGAGAATAGAAGGGGTGATTGTGGGGAAAAGGACCAGAAGTAGGAAGAGCCCTGAGAACATCTCTATAGTCAATTAAGAGGCATGCTAGGCAGTATCAAAGAAGGAACGAGGAGTCAAATCAGGGAAGCAGATTTTCCATCACGTTTGCTGATTAATTGTTCTAACTTAAAATTAAGAGTGCACATGGAATGGAAAATATGTTTTGTTTTGAAACTGGAAAAAAACATTCCATTCCAGAAGTTCTGCTGATTCAGACTGGCCTGGTTCAACAGGAAAATAAATCTGAATGCTTTGGCAGTTCTGGATTTTGAATGACGTCACACGCAGAGAGATCCCTGAAGGATCCTGGAATGACTTTTTGGAGTGAATAGTGTTGTGTCCTGAGCCTGCAAAAGCAGGCTCGGGATGTTGCATTGGTCCCGGGCATTCCAAAAGCTGCCCTGGACCAGACTGAGTGGTGTGGGCCTTGTGCACATGCGCAAGGTGCGAAAACGCCCTGCTACTTTGTTGTGTTTTTTGTCCGGGTCTCTGGTCGCTTAAAGAGGCCTGCGCGCCTGTTACTCTCTGTTCAAGTATTGATTAAAGAGGAATAAAGAGCTGTTGAACTTTGCCATGTTTAGTCATCATTCGCAACCGAACGGAGTATTTAACAAATAGGGTGAAACCAATGCACGTCTCCCTCTCTCTCCTGCCCTCCCCAGTGCAGCCTCCCCAATTGGCCTGCTTCCCAATCTTCTAGCATCTTCTCTTCCTTCCCTTCCTTCAATTGCTATGGCTGTTCATGTGTATGTCATCTCTGTACTTAAGATCCTAGTTCATTCAAGGAAGACTACTATTAAATCACTATACCTTCTCTAATTCCAAATACAAACAAATAAAACACTTAACTGAAATATAATTGTTACTTATGTATGATAATGGTTAAATCATTTTGGTGCTACATGTTTATGTGTTGACTTCCTTAGCTAGTGTTTTGTTTAACCACCACAGACAAATAGCAGTCTCCCTATTTGTCATTAATTCTACTGAAGAATTATGCCATAGATTGTATCAATTTCATCTCCTTTAATTTTTTTTTTCTGCACAAAGCTCCATAATTCGAGAATGTGGAACAACCTGCCCAGTTGCTGCTGTTTTAATTATTCCACTATTTGCTTTTATTCAATATCATTGACGTTCAGTTGTGGTGAGAGTTTTGGTGCACTGTCATAATACATTTTCCTCCTTTTGTTTTGTTTTTCCTTATTCATTTGAACACGGCATGTGATGGCACTCTTACAGAAAGTTTTCTTTTGAAAAACAACTTTGCAGAAAGTCACCTTATTTTAGACATGTTAACCTGCCGGTCATTCATTTTAAACAAATGTTTGTTTCTTCAGCATTCTGCAATACAAGTTTAATAATTTTATTCCTATTTATCTGCAGCTGTTCTGAACTTGATATAATATGCTGTGGATCTAGCCAGTGCTTATGTATCACTTTTGAGAAATTCTGGGGAAACTAGTGGACTACCATATAAATGGAAAAGAGCAAAAGGATTCTTTTTTTTTTATAATTGTACTCAATTAAATTGACTCAGATTCAAAAGAGCCTCAAAAGCACTGGACTCTGAATAGGTAAATATTCATATCTCCCTATAAAGATAGGGAGATGTTTTATTTTGGAAAAAAAAACATGGTACAAAAGTGAAATGTAAAATTTACAAGTCTATATGTGATTCTATTCTATTCTATTCTATTCTATTCTATTCTATTCTATTCTATTCTATTCTATTCTATTCCACTCTATTCCACTAAACTCCATTCCACTCCATTCCACTCCACTCCACTTTGCTAACCACTAATTTTATAACAATTATTGCACTCTATATTATACTACTGGTTTACTATTCAAACAATATTAGTATTACTATTACAATACTACACTCCATAATATTACTTAGCAATGTTTTATTTGTATGAACACTGCATTGTCTCTCTCTGAAATTTCTTTTTTTTTTTTTGTTACTGGCCAGCATGTAGAGTACTTGCAACTTTCCACACTGAGTTTTTATACTTGCACTTTTCCTTGCTGTCCTTCTATACTGCTTTTCCTTTGGACCATTTACTCCACTGAAGGAAATATGTCTTATTTTATTGGGCTGCTTTACTCTGTTTGCTGGTGACTCCAGAGCTTCAAAAACAACGCCTCCTCCATTGTCCTCCCATACCTGTTTCAAGATTGCAGCTTTACTGGCAATTTTGCCATGCTGATACTGGGAAGAAAGGTCAAATAAGAGGGGAAGAAGGCAGCATAGGCTCATCCAGTTTTTCTAAGCAGCCTATTCTTTTACATTCATATCTTCAAAAAAAGAGGAAACCAGACAATGCAAGGAATTAGAGGCTGGTGCATTTGGCACTGATATCTGAGAAGTTTCCAGAGAAAATCTTAAAGTTCATAAACATCTTGAAGACAATGTTTTCAACTACCAGCTGCCAAAGTCAGCATGGTTTTATGAAGAACAAATCTTCTCATGTAATTTTTTTGAGAGTATAATTTCCATAAATGGATTGTGGGAATGCTGTCAACATAATGTATCCTGACTCCAGCAAAATATTTGACAAAGTACCTCATGATCTGCTAATTAGCAAGACTATTAAATATGGGCTAAATGGCATACAGTAACAATGAAGTGTAAAGGCATATTATTCGGAGTGTGATTCTCATCAAATTGGAAGGAAGTATGAGTTAATTGCCATAACATTCAGTCCTGAGTTTTCTGTTCTTCTATAATTTTAATAATGAAGGGTAGAGAGGTAGGAAAAATAATTATTAAGTTGGCAAGTGACACAAACTTAGATGGATCACTGGGAATTGAGCAGCATATAGATTTAATATACTAAGGCTGGTCATGCAGTCAACCAGATGTTTTACACTGGAGTTAGCATTTTTGTCCGTGTAGTCCTTCCTAAGGACCTGGGATAGCAGATGTTTAACAATATTAAAGGTATTGGGCAGGATGTAAGCTGTTCCAAGTAAAAATGCCTTTTGTAATTGACATGATGATTTTATTGATGCTGATGATGTTCAAATGTTGCTTCAGATGTTTTGGTGCCTATTACTATTGTTACCATCCTTGTTTTCTTTTGCCACAGTTTTTCTACTGCAAGTCTTTATATCTTGTGATTTTCTCCAGTTCTTTCTATTCTCTTCTGCTGTCTCCAGATATTGTAGTGTCCACTTTCCAGACTTTTTTTTTGTCTTTCTTATCAACAGTTGTTAAATTTGGGGTGTTGTGAAGCAGGTGCTTGTCTGTTTGAATTCTAAAGTCCCACAGCATTTCAATTTCATTTTCTATTACTTTGATATAGTATTTTGTGGTTTCACAATTCTTGCTTCAGGTAAGTGGTATTTTTTTGTAGATATTCCAATACACCATTGTTGCTACTTTGTCATGCCGCTGTTTGCAATCAGTCTGTGAAATCTTTTTCCAGCAGCTAACTAACCTTTATTATTATCTGCATGCAACAATGTGAAGTCACAACTGCTAGTTCTTTAGTTGGTGTTAGCCTTCATACACACCAAGTTCTCCCTAAGAATCTAGGATATTGTAATGTATCAATGCAGTATATGTGTGGGTCCAAGTACATTTAGCAATTAATTTAATGAGATTTACTTAATTAATTAAAACTATTTTTATTTTATGAATAATGAATCTAGAATTCAGTATATCTCACACATTTCTGGTTAATGAATCTAAATCTAATCTAAAACAGTAAAAGTTGTTGCC